CCATGTGCCCATATAGTACATACTTAAGCCTACAAAGGATTCCTTTATAGGGCGCCCTAAGGCCAAAGTCGAGTAGTAGATAAACGACATGGAGCCTTCGGGGTGATGAGGCCCTAAATATCCTGAAGCCTAAAACCCTAAACCTTAAGCCNNCTTAAGCCCTAAACCCTGAACCCCTTGGGTTTCGGGTTTAGGGTTTAGGGTTTAGGGAGACCTTAAACCCTAAACCCTGAACCCTACACTCTAACCTTAAAGTCTACACTCTGAACCCTAAACCGTAAACCCTAAGCCCTATCATGAGGCTTGCAGATTGGCTCATCGACCGGCAGAAGGCCATTGGCCGCACGGCCCTGTGCCTCAGTGGCGGAGGATCGCTGGCCATGCACCCTGCCTTGGGGCTTAAACTGGGACCAGCTGCATCCATCCGCAACCGGTTATAGACTTACAGATGGGTTTCGTTTAGGGTTTAAGGTTTAGGGTTTAGGGTTTAAGGGTTTAGGGGTTTAGGGGTTTAGGGGTTTGGGATTTGGGGCATGGGGGTGTAGGGTTTATAGGGCTTCCGGGTTTGGGCTTCAGGGTGTAGGGCTTTGAGGTTTAGAGGTTTAGAGCTGAGGGCTTAGGGTTTCGGGCATCGGCTGGGAGTTAAGGCGGTTCAGGGCTTAGGCATTGAGGTGAAGCGCTTGGAGTTCAAGACTCAAGCATTCTGGTTTGCATGGAAGTGGTGGCTTTGGGGCTCGCAGGGTTGAGGGCTTAGGGAAGGCGGACAACAGACAGTGTGGCAATTTCCGGCACACAACACCGCCAAGCCAAAGCGACTTAGACATGGGATTCTGAAGAAGGTATTGCTGCAACTCCCTTATGCCTTCTCGTTCGAAGCCACGGCTTGGAGCCATGAGCTGCCCCCCATCCTTAATGCAGGGGCCTGAATAAGTGTGGGGGGGTTGTTCCTTATTAAAATTATAGAATAATGGGCCTCAAAACCCTATTCTAATTATTCAGGCCCCACATTAGGGCGTAGGCTTTGTATTGTGTTTGTTCCATCGACAGGCCTGAAGCAAACAATCGGCAACTTGCATTTGCGCAGAGACATCTGCACCCTTACAGCCAGTTCGCAAGCAAGCACATGCACGCATCCTGATCGGACCTCAAATTCCTCAAAACCCTGCTCTCAGCTTTTAACCCTATGAGATGGTGCTGCATAAACCCTAAGAAGCCCTAAACCTCAATCCCGAGAATATAGAAGCCTAAAAACTTTCCAGTATTATTGTGAGGGTTCCTTGTTCTACATAGACTATAAAGAAGCCCGAAACTCTATTTTAATCATTAAGGCCCTGCGTTAAACCTTGAAGCAAGGTATCACATGGGAGTCTGCCGCTTCCTCCTCGAGGCGGGATGAGTTTTTGTCACCCGACTTTTGCAGCAGAGGGTATCGACGCCTGCTAAAGAGCACAGTCACCAGAGACGGCTCTATCGCCACGGCATCCAAAAGTCTAGATCGTTTTGCTTCCACCAGCTGACAGGCTCTTAGTTCAAGGGTCGCGTCGGCATGAAGACATCCGCAGCGATGAAACGACACTGATGTAAGCGTGAACTTGCGCCACAAACCATTTGTTGGTCGTTGCAGTAGCACCGCCAAACAGTGCTCCTTTCGCGCGTGCCGCAATGGTGCAAGTGGCGCCAGTAGAACGGCTATCTGTCAAGGAGGAGACGGAAAAAGCCAAGAAGACAAAAGCCAAAGATTCATGGATCCTCTTCGTTCTCATTTGTCTCAACTTCTTTTCGTGCCAGTTTGGCCACGGCTCCAACATCGGGGTGGCTGTGTCACTCCCAGGGAACTCGAAGGCCATGAACTTGGCACTCGGATCGTGGGTGATGGTTGGCGTTTGCTTGGGCCTCCCTCTTACACCATGGGCCTGCCGGACCTTCGGGGAGTTCAATGTCGTCATCGTGTGCACCATCCTTGATGTCATCGCAATGTTGCTCATGACCGTGCCTGGCATCACAATCCACCAAATCTACGCAGTCCGCTTCCTCGTGGGCTTTTTTGAGGCGCCCTTTCTTCCCTACTTGCAGAAGTGGCTCTCTAAGCATGGGTGCAACAACTGGAACCTCATGAATACGACCTTACATGCGATGGTGCCTCTTGGTGAGAACGTGGGCTTCATTGTTGCCCAGGAGTTGGTAAATTCTGGTGTCCACTGGAAGTGCCCTGGCTGCACTTTTGCAAACTCTTGTAGTTCGCTTTATTTTCTATAGGGGTACCTGTGTGCAGACTTTTGGGAGGGCCCTCAAATTGCATCCCAGGTGGGCTTTTGTTGGGCAAGCCGCCGTTTTCGGTGGCACGGCCCTGTTGTGCTTGGCCTACGGTGGACGTCAGTACTTGGAGCTTTCAGACGATCGCACGGACAGTGAGGAGGATCTTGATAAGCCGACAGGTGAAGTGGAGTCTTGGTAGCGTTAGCGGGTCGACTTCTTTCCTTTAAAGCTGTTATAACTTGTATCACCCCTTCTGGACATGACGCTTTGGTTTTCATCTGTGAAACGCTGAGGAGTACCCAAGCACCGAGCGTTGGGGTGTCTACTGGGCGACCAATGTGTCCCTGGCAGCACAACTCGGTTTTCTCGGTGGGTGCAAGTACGTCATTCGGGACTACGCTACCTCGCGCGGCTTTGGCCTACACCTCGTCCTATGCACCTTCTCGCTCATTGCCTTGATCGGACCAGCCCTTGGTGGCAGCATTGCCATGTCCGGGAGCGTGGTGCAGCCGGACAAATGGAGTCAGCACCGGAGGACCCTGATCTTCCTCGCGTCCGTCTCCAGCATGGCCGCAATCCTCGCATCCATTCTCCCCTATGTCTCAAGCACCTTCTTTTGGCCGGCCTTGTTCCTAGGTAGGCCTTTGGGATATTTTATATTTTCCCTTATTGGGCTTCAGAGGATCTTTTTTGCGAATATTTATCAGAGGCTTTGACTGAAGGGCCAACCTAGGTTCCTAACTTTCTGCATCGCCGGCGGCGTCTACCCGGCAGCGCAGGGGATCATCCAAATCGCGCTGACCAGGAGCCGCGTGATCGAAGCCTCCGTCTCTTAGTAGCTGAATGGCTAGACTGTACACTTGTTTGGGGGTAGTATGGTTTAGGGTTTAGATTATAATTAGAGTTTAGGACATTATCCCCCCATAGCACTGAAAGTTTTAATTTTTCGGGCTTATGAACTCTCTGCAACGAAGGTCTATCAAGTGCAGTGCAACAACCTCCTCTTCGCAATGCCCATGCCCTACGGCATTGGAGACTTGTCAACGATTATGGAGTTCACAAGCATCCAACTTTTCCACCCTAGCTTTTCCCCAGAATCCAACTCTTCCACTCTGGCTTCTTACAACAATCTCGCACCCTTCTACAATTTCATCGAAGATCCCTTCATCTTATGGGCCTTACGCCCGAACCCCGAGACCCCCAAGCCCCCTAAGCCCTAAAACCCTAAAGCCCTAAATCCCTAAACCCTAAACCCTCAAGCTGGAGAGTCAGGAATTGCCATGGACTCATGGAGCATCGGAGCCTCATTCCGCCTCGTGGCCCTCTTCCAGGCGATGGGCAGAAAAGCCCCAAAACCCAAACCCCTTATATAGGGGCCTTACCCATAGGCCCTATAGTAGTTCCTTCTGGGATTACTTAATAGGATCTTAAAACTAAGCCAAAACGGAACTACGATGGGGCCTATAGGTAATAACAACCTACATTATTTTAGGGGGGGGGGGTCCCTATTATGATAAGTATAGTATAGTGGGCCCCGAAACCCAATTCTAAATCTTAAGGCTCCTACATTAATCCCAAATCGCGAATCAAACCACGTACACTGCCTGCACTTATACCATAAACCAGAATCCTTTACCCTTCAATGCGGTTTCGTCCTTGCTAGGTAGGAGGGAAAAATATACTAATATACGCTGTGAGCCCACAAGGCACTGCAAACCCACCCTAAGCCCTAAGCCCAATCGATGGTAAACCTAAAGCCCCCTTTCAGGTGATGGCCGCAGCAGGCTTCTCTTTGGCCGTACTGTCGGCGGTCACTGGGCCCTTGTTAAGCTTTCTGGGGCTTCTGGGTTTCCGGGCGTATGATCTGCAGTTTAGAGTTTAGGCTTGAACCTCAAAAGCAGAGATGTCTAATCTGTAGGTTTTGGACAATTTTGGGGCTTTTTGTCCTTACGGTGAACAATGTGCATTCTTCTCTGTGTTACCTGAATCCAGGATTGGGGTGAGCAGCGCAGCACGTGGAATCGGCTGACATCCCCGACGCAAGACACAGCAAGCCTCCTTGAGGAGGGAAAATCGCCCAATGTGGAGCTCACGAATGTCTCCGACACAGTCGCGAAGGAAGAGAGGAATCATCTTCATCAAGGTCACTGAGCTATGCCTTCACTGGCCGCCAATGCTTCCTGTTTCACCCTCTAGCTTTGTCTTCCACACGGAGTTTCAGATTTGACATCGCGCCCTTCTGACTAATCAGTTCCATGCAAATTCCCACGCAAAAAAACTCAATGGATCCGCTGTGTGCAAATGTAGCAGTGCAGGAGGCAAAGCCCAAATCACTTGTACGGCTTATAAACTCTGCGAAAGCCAGGAAGGGCTGATGCCAAAGATCGTCAGCGGGGTGTCGGGCGGCTCGATTGTCGCCGGATTCCTGGCCATCCACACGAATGAGGAGATCCGGTGCATTAGGTTAAACGACTCAGGTTGCATAGCTTAGAATGTATGTTTACGTATACTGGCCGACAGATACAGGCTGCGAGTTTATAATTACACTGTATTGTAAGATGATCAAAATCTAAGCACGACATATATGTATACTATACACATACACACATGAGTATGTGTGTGCTTTCAGATTGTTGGATAGTTGGATGGATAGACAGGTAGGTAGTTAGAAAGAAAGATAGATAGGAAGATAGAAGGTCGATAGATAGATAGATAGATAGACAGGTAGATAGATAGACGAACAAATAAAGAGATAGGCATAGGCGATATAGCTACATAGATGGATGTGTAGGTATGTCTGTATTCACGTATTTATATATGGATAGACGAATATGTTTTCATGTTGTGTGTTAAAGTGTGTTTGTATATATGTACAGGCAAAGAGCACGCGATTATATATATATATATATACATACACACGCATATATGCACATCTTTTCTATGCATAGTGACGTAGTGACAGGTAGACCGATAGAGGTTTGCAGTCATGGTTTCAGGATCCTTTCAGTACCGGCGAGGGATCATGTTGGCATGTGTCACGTCTTCCCCTGGCAATGGCTAGCCTTAGAATGCACCGGGTATCAATTTCGAGCCTTTCATTCAAGATCTTGTAGGCTTTTTGGTTAGTCTAGAGCCTTGATAATTAGAAAAAGGTATCTCTTATACCATGTGACCACTATACTAAGGAGCCCCCGAGAGTGCACTGTTGCTATACTATTCAGTATTCAGGCTACTGTGTTGGGGCTTCTCGTGAAATCTGAGAATCGGCCAGGAGCGAAAAGCTTGCCGCACAACTCTTTGCTAAAAGTTAAACCCGGGTCTATAAGGAAGGGCACTTCTTTCTTAGGGGCCAGCGCTCTGACGAGGAGATCTTGGACCATGTTTTTGTGCCGGGCATTGTGCGTCGGCATTTGCCTCATCGATGGTTCCCTCACTGGTGGCAGGACACCGGGACTCTACACTCAGCCAAGCCTTAAACCCTGAACCCCAAACCCCTTAACACTCAACCGGTAAACACCTGCAGCCAGTTTGGCTCAAGCTGATTCGGGCCGATTGCGTTGCAGCTTCCTTGCAGCTTGTCCTTGGCTGCCAGCCATGTTTTTGCTGCAAACGGCCCGGCCGCTGCATGTTCGTCCCCTGGCGGTGCAAGCGGATCAACATGAAGCAGACGGTACTGAAGCACATCCCAAATCAAGAAGGGAGGACGGGCTTCATCTCCAGCCGCTTCCGGCCGTGGGTGATGAATGCCACGAAGGAGTCACGGGCCATGCTTGCAAATTTCCACGTCTCATTGCAGATCGTGGACTGCCCCGGGGAGCGAATACAAAACGAGTGTCTGCGCTGCGTGGAGCCTGGAGAAGTCACATGTTTTCGTTGCGCTCAGCACTGAAGACTGCATGGGGCGAAGATCTCATTTCCCAGAACGCCAACACATGCTGGGAAAAGAACGAGTGGGAGACGAGCTTTCGGCATCGAGACGGATGCAAGAGCGTTCTCGTCCGTATGGCCCGGGACTTCAGAAGCTGGGCTTGCAACTCCAAGATGGTCGACTGGGCGGACGGACAATTCTTAAGGCTTGCGGCTTGGCCGGTCAGCAGCCGCATTGCGACCTTAACGGAAAAAGAATTGCAGCTGCGGATGGAAACCGCTGGCTTAGCTCGCTGCACGAGGCAAACTTGAGGATTTTTGCTGGCTGCACCAGCTCGCCAAGGCGAAGGCATGTGCTTCCACGTCCACAAATCGCTGCCCAGTGATTGAACATCCCGCCAAAATGTGTCAAGATGTCGAAAGTTTGCCCCAGGCTTGCAATCGTTGCAGTAATTCTGTCTTGGCATCACAGCAAGAACCACGGTAAGCGTGTGATTGCATGCTCCTCGCAGCCCACAACTTGTACATGTTGGAACATCGCGCCATCTGGATTATCTGAGATTTTGCGCCATGGAAAAGACCTTATTGCTCTGCATGGAATGCGAGATTGGAGCTTGGACTGGGCAGCTGACGCGCATCGATGGTTTTCATCTCCAAAAACTTTGGGCACGAGTCTGAACACAACTGCAACCGTCATGTGAGAGGGCAAGTCTGGGTGAGAGCAATGAGGTAGTAAGCAGCTACTGAACATTAATAATTTAGTAAGCAGCTACTGAACATTAATAATTTAGTTTACTTGGTCTGTTACTATGTTATCAGAGTTAATGACGGCAAGTTTCACAGATTGGCTGATCCACCCCAAGTCAACCTCCCAATCCATGTATCACTACTGAGTATAGGGCCCTGCATCTAGCATCATTGCCCTGACCCGCGGGTGAGCCACTTCTTGGACAGTCGAACAGTCTTGGAGTGTTTCATCTCAACCGACTACACACCAAGAAACTCGCCTGGCTTGTCCGAGTGTGAGAACCGAAACCGCTGATGCCCCAAAGCCCCAAACCCCTAAACCCGTGACCTCTCAACCTGGGCCCTTTAAAATTATCGGCCTCGGATTCCGAGACCCAACAGCAGCTGGGGCTAAGGCTTTTTTTGGGGGTTAGGGGTGCCGGCATGTTCTGGGAAATAACAGATCAGGTCACGACTCTGCGGGTAGCTACTAGTCAGAGTGCACGCAGGCATTTACCATCGAGTCTGGCAGAGCTAGGTCACTTGACAAGTGTAAGTTTATAGCTGTAAGCAAGAGCAAGCATTCGTACACGTAAACCCCAAACCAAACGCCCAAGTGCTTCCTCTGGTACAACTTCGATTAACTCTAAAGCCTCGACACCCTGCCCGAAGCTCCCATGTGCGACACGAATGCGCAGGAGCTAGTGAACTTCTTGCGGATTGGTGTCCCGGGCCCGGAGATATGTTTGTCTCTGACAACTTCGGCTCTAGAAAGTAAGCGCCTTCCCGAAGCCCATCAACTTTAGGTCCTACGTCCTCTTCACGTTTCTTGAGCTGTTGAAATGTGGTCCTAGTGATGGATTTCAAGAGACACAGAACACTAAGTAAAGGTACTACATCCCGTACCCGGTACCCCTGACGCCCCACGTGTCGAATCCGAAAGTACTAGAAAAAGAAGGAACACAGACCAAAAAATCAATACATCAAGTCCTGGGGCAAGTTTTGAGGTTTTTTATAAGCTTTACATTAAGTTTACGGGTCAAATGTCTGACTTTCATGTGTATACGCTCCAGAGCCTAAGAGAAGACCGAAGAACCCGACGAGTTTTGATTTGTTAACTATCAGGTCCTGGTCCCAACGAAGGACTTCGAGGACTCTGGTGATGGCTTGGCGATCGTGTTTAAGCTGAGGTGTCAATCACTACAGGATCAGGGGCCTGATGAGCCAGCATGCTATTCTTAAGGCTCCTGAATATACCAGTATAACACATAAACAATCTTTCAGGTTCCTGAATATCTGGAAAGTATACCATGTACCCAATCCCTAGCGTTCCTGCATATATATATATATATACATACCGTATAGCATACCAATTCCTTAAGGTTCCCTATTCCATTTACAGTCAAATAAAGGCTATACCCCCCACAGCCGAAGGCCCCGTTGTTTTGTGACGGGAGGTCGAGGTTTGTTGGGTACCCCTGACACATCCTGTTCGGGGCCTGTTGCGAGTTTCAGAAAACTCCGGGGGCCCCAGTTTAGGGTTTAGGGTCTATAAAGCTCTTAAGATTGGGATCCTTCTTGGACTCCAGGTGTAAGGTATCCTGGTTGCCTGAAACTCCGTATTGGGCTTTGCCGCTAATTCATTGAGAGACTGCAGAGTACCCTAAGCCCCCATACGGATATTGCAAAGCCTATAACCTTTAGGCTTTAGGGCTTGGCCTTACATTCCAAAAGCCCCCGGACCCCAAACTCTACCTCCAAACCGCGCCAGACCTGTTCAAGATCCGGCATGCATGGCTGTCGCACCACGTGGCCTTGTGCCGTTTACAGTTGGTGATGTACGCCTGGCTGTGAGCATGATGGCACGTTGTGCGTGTTTTGGTTTGGGGGCTCCTTAAGCTTTACTTAGAAGCCCGTCGCCGCGAACCTTCGAGAATCGCGCAGGCTTCTGCAAAATCCTCCTGCATGACACCTCAAGCCTGAAAGCCTATGCTCAGACTCCATCCGTAGAGCCACGGGCCCGACACCCCCTACTACAGGACAGGAGCCTAAATCATTACCACTACTTTTTTGGGGGTTCTTTATTATCGCTCTAGTATAATATACCGCAAAACTCTATTCCAATCATCCAGGCCTCTACATTAAACTTTAAACCCTAAGAGACCTCGTCTGACGGAGTCCGAGTTGCAAGAGCGTACACCCTAAGAGAAGACGTCGCAGGACACTTGCAAGTCGTATTTCGGCACCTGGACCTTCGAAGAAGCCTTCCAGCGTACTGGCCGACCCGCCTTCAGGATGCATTAGATGATATTGCTATAACTGTTATTGTTCTGATATATATATATATATGTATATATATATATGTGTATATAGGTACATACGGTTGATGGACAAAATCCTGCATGACCCTATATACCTAAACTGTGGGATTTATGGTACTATACTATATTTGGGTCATGCAGAATTTTGTCCATCAACAGTATATATATATATATACAGATATATATAACATGGTTTAATGTTATATGTCATATAGTGAGTCGAGCCATTCGGAAGCTGAGATACTTGTATCCAAACAAGAACGAATACATGATGTGGTTGAGAGGAAGGCGAGACAGAAGGAGAGTATGTGGACGGGGAGTTTGCGCTTTAGTTTGAAGAGTTCGAGCTTCATGCTGCAAAAGTTCCGTGCTATTAAAGACCGGTTTTGGCCGAGAAAGTTCCGGGTCTCGTGGGGTGTTTTAACCCTAAGCCCTAAACCCTTAACCCTGGACCTTTGAATTACAGCCTAATGTCCCGATCGCCCTTCGTTCTGCCATTTTCATGACCAGTGCTTCGAACAAATTCAACGGAGTCTGGTTAATAACCCTATAAACTCGAAACCCGTCCTTGCGAAGTAGGGGGAGAACAAACCTAGGAAAAATTAGGATTTCCGGCGTTACTTACCCTCCTTGGACCCCCCCCCCCCCCCCCGATACGAGAATAAATCCTAAAACCCCTCTACGAAACCCCTAAGCCCTAAACCCTCAGCTCAGCCATGCAGGAGGCAAAGAAACCC